ATCTAGATTCTTGGTCTAGATTCTAGGTCAAGATCTATATCTAAATTGTCAAAATATTTTTTTCTCCCCAAAATCACTACTTTTTGTTGAAATTACACAAAAAGTGCCATTCAAGACATGTATAGGTTTATTCCAAATGCAATTCTGAATAATTCCCTATAAGATACGAGTGGGTTTTTTTCTGTTGGTGATCGTTTTTCAAGATTATAAAAATTTTTTTTAAAAATATCGGATGTTATGATCCAAATGTACAAATATTATGGAATGTATGTAAATAACTGCGAACTTTTCAATATTTTCCAGTTCTATTTTCATTTATGGTTATTTTGATGTATCATTTGACTAGATGCAAGCATATTTTTTGAGTTTCACCAAAGATTATAAAGTTTTTATTTTCAAATTTTAACCGAATCCATTCAAAATTGTGTTGCATAATCGCCACTTACAGGAACCAAAGCTGAAAAATATATAAATAAACATTACAGATGCATTCTACAATCCATACTGAAAATATTGGTATTAGCAATAACCATGAAAAACCTTTTTTTGCCAGAAAGTGTTTGCAAATAGATATGCATTTTGTAGCTTTATCTTCACAGAGCATGGAACTTTTTGAATTTTTGAAATCCATCAATAAACAAAAAAAGTAACGGATTTTTTAATCAATTAATTTTTGGTACACTTTTATATAATGAAAAAAACCCAAAATATGGGACGTTCTTTGGTGAGTTTTGAGACAATATTCGTCATAACTCGCTCATTTCTCAGAGTATTTAAAAGAAACTTTGCAACCCAGTACATTTTCTAGTGCAGAATCTAGTCCTGCTTTCAGATTTTTCATAGCTATCCTATTTTTTGAGTTATGAAGATGTTAGATAAAAATGTGGCGATTTTCGGTGTGTTTTGAGACAATATTTGTCATAGCTCGCCTATTTCTTGAAATATGTAAATGAAACTTGGCAGTCTAGTATATTTTTTAATGCAGAATCTAGACATGCTGTCATATTTTTAATATCTGTCATACTTTTTGAGTTGTAAAGACATTAACAGGTAAAAAAGTGGCGTTCTTTACAGATTTACAAAGATTATCAGTCATATGTTGTCCCAAAGTCATGATATTTGAATAAAACTTGGCAACATAAAAGATTCCTCCTTGCCAAGCAATGCTCTGGATCAATTTGTCACAAAAATGTAAGTAGAGAGGATTTATTAGTCTAATAAATCCAGTTCTGTACTAGTAAAAGCATGCATACTTAGTTATTGAAAATAACATCGTCTCTGTGTATATCCATTGTTGGACAGTGTCCTATTGTGTGGTAGATTAAGATGCGTTCAGATAATAATAGTTTACAAGTCATGGGAATATTTCGCATGTGTAGGCTACAACTCATACAATAAATGTACCATATTTACACCCCCCCCCCCCTTCTCTCTCTCTCTCTCTCTTTCTCTCACGCGCACGCGCACACACACACACGCACGCGAGCTCACTCACGCACGCACGCGTGAACGATAACAATGTATAAACGGGACTATCTTCCCAGACTGGACTAAATAAGTACCATACTCTTTAATAACAATCTTAATGCCTCACTTTTCCAAACAGAGCACACAGGAGGAGTCCAAGTGTGTGCTTTCCCAAGAGGGGGGAATAGGCTTTCATAACGCAAACACAATGCCATACCACTTCTCAAGATGTTTGCTTTTCTGTTTCTGTTCAAGCAAATAAAAATGACTACATCTATTGTATTGTGACTAAAATGCAAGTTATCAAGGCCCTCGTTTAGTTTTGAAGTATCCTTCCCCCCCTTTCCGGTTCACATAAGCGGGGCCTCGTTTGTAGCGCCCGAGGCGACCGATGGCTGGTGACGTCACTCAGTGGAAATTTCCCAGCCGCCGGCCGCTCACCCAGCACGCGCTAATGGCAATCCGCTTTTTCCTTTACTTACTCTCACATTTTCAAAGATTACGCGAGAACCGCTAAACACAGAAGCTTGAAATTTTAAGGGAATAAAGAAAAATGGTGTACAACGTATCAGTCAGTTTGACAAATCACAGCTCCGAAAAATCTTCAAAGCGCACCACATCAACCACTTTCGCAAACGTTTTCGACTGCTTCTAGGATGGGTACAATGTTGTCAAACTGCATACTACGAGATTGACCTCTTTTCTGATTGGCTGCCAAGTTTCATTCATATCCATTCACGAGAAGCGGCGTGAGAGCGAGTTGAAGACAACAACCTTTGCGTTAGTGCGTCCCACGAAACACCCCCGCTGCGGAGGCCAAAAATCGGCAGAACAAAACGCGCTCGGTGGGCATTGCTAATAATATGTTGATATTTATTTGAATTTGTGGCCCAAAAGACCTTTTAACTATCCACTAGTCATCATCTCATTCGCCCTCCCGAAAAAAATTCGTCCACAAGCCGAAAATAATACGTAGCGAATGAGTTAAAAAGGTATCACTTAAAAGATCAGTTCATTTCCTATTAGTATAAAGTAATCAGCTTGGAATTATTTTTCATCAATCCTTCTGCGAGACTAGGAAAGCATGTAACCCCGCACGCGGGGTACACTACAGTATAGAGCGAGTCGCTCGCCGCGGGGGGTGCGGCATCGGGCGGGTCAACGCTCTGTGTTTTTGTCGAAATAACGACAGATCATCATGTTTGAGGTGATAAAATACTGATTTGTAATGATCTCACAGTCTTGAAAAAAATTAGGCTCCATATATATATATGTTATAGTGATTGTACTCTGTTAATGTAGAGATGTTTAGCGCACTTGGTACTCTTTTATGGTCTGTCAAACATGGGGTTGCAGCCAGTGACCGACTTTTAACAAATTTGATCAAATTTTAAACAACTACCATTTTCTTAAAAATTGACTGAGAGGTTAAAGAATGGTACCAAAAAGCTGAGTGGATATAGGCCTTTCAAATGGAACAGATAAATTTGGCATACACCTACTTTGAAAATTTAGTTTCTGGTCTATAATAAGCTAGGCTTTGTAGGCGGCACATAAACTATCAAACCGGACCCTACAAGCGGACAAACTTAACCCTGGAAGCGCGCAGTCCCTCAACATTTAAGGCGTGAGCCGGGCTACCCGGGAAGCGCACAGGCCCTAATAGGGCTGACCTACTTTGACCAGGAACCGCGCAGGCCTTATAAAGGGCATTATATATATATATATATATATAAACGCAAACCTTTTTTAATGTAAAAGTTTAGTATTCCTTACACGGAAAATGGCGTAATAAATTACAGGTCAAAGTTATAATTTATAGTGACCAATGACTTTGCTAGTTATTGTAGAGCATCTCTTGGCCAAGATATTGATCAATAAAGTGGCACGGTCCAGTCGAGCGATATCAAGGTCTTGAGCATACTTAATTTGATCTAAATCTAACATAAATACGGGGTGCCCATTACAGCTGGATCGGGCCGATTGCCCGACTCAGTCACCTGAAACTGAACAAGATGGGTGCCACACCTAAAAATAGTTTGTGTCCTTCTACATTTAATCGTATGTTTCACTGACTGATCACGATGGCAAGCCTGACAAGACGCTTGTAAGACTCTTTTTTTTTCAGCAAGTGACAGCACAGGACAAATATCGGTTTATTTTCATTCCAGTTACCGTGGGGGGCAGGGGGGTAGATACGGAAATAATATGCCAACAAAAAGCGGTACAACTTAAGAATCTGGGTCCCGTTTGTTTAGACTAGGCATCATCCACATAGAGTACTGGATATCGATACTGACAAAAATATTCGGTATCGATGTTCTATCAGTAGATCTAGATCCAGCCTACAAAATGAGCATTAAAAATTCACTAGTTATTAATTAACAAGGGAAGGGGGGTTTCAGGGGGGCAAATAAAAACATGGAGATGGGGGGTTCAGGGGGGCATGCCCCCCATGCCCCCCTGAATTTGAACATAATTTGATGTTTTGCAATTAGCCTAGGTTTGATAGGCCATCTCTCCATATCGGCACACTCATCAAAAAGTAATCATTTAGAAACAGAAGTAATCGTCGGTGGGGTCAAAACTAAATCATAGCGTCAATTGCCAACGAGTGACGTGGTGGCAATTGACAAAAATTGACTTTTTGTCAATTGCCACCGAGTGAAGCGGTGTAAAGTCTGAAAACAACACTATCTTTAGCATTATACATTATAATGTGTGTCTAATGGGTCAATTTGTTCTGAACTAATTTCATAGGACAAGCATCCAAAATCTAGATCTAGTCTAGAACTACGGTACTAACTTGGCGTGTTTTCAATGAGACGTATGCCTAGATCTAGGCTGGGAGGACTTCCGTAACGAGCGACCACTTCACTCTATGAGACAGAGTAGAATAGAGGGGTAGGAGTTGGGGTAGATCTAGGGGTAGGGGGAGGGTTAGGGTTAGGGTTAGGGTGAAGGTTTGGGCTTGGGTTAGGGTTAGATCTAGGCCTCTTCTATTTTGTGTTTGTTGGGGTGGTCGCTCGTAACGGAAGTCCTTCCTCTAGGCTAGCCTTAGCTTAGCCTACACTTTGGTGAAGAACAGGCACAGGCAATTCTAGAAGTAGAAGGTCACAAACTCAAGCAGAAATTCACGTTATATCGGGGAACATAAATCGGGGGACGGGGGTCAGGAAAACACACACACACACAGAGGTGAACGCACAACACTGAGCACTCGAGCACAGCTAGATCTACCCACCAACTCAAAAGAGCTCCCAATTCACTCGGTGGCAATTGACACTACCAAACTAAACTAAATATCCCCAAGCGGGACCCAGATTCTAAGTCTTAAGTATCTAGAATTCTAGATTCTAGATCTATGAATCTAGTCTCGTACCCAAAAAGCCAAGGGGCGAAGGGGTGCAGGCCCACAAAAATAATAAATATCTAGAAATCTAGATCTACGCCTAGTCCCAGGTGGTCTGCTTATCTTCAATTTTACTAAAAGTGATTTCGAAAGAAAGCAACAGAATATTCCAGAAACTTACAATGGCCTTCGTGTAGCAAGCGATAGCATCGTCGTATTTTCTTGCAGCAAACAGCTTATTGCCTTGGTTCTTTAATTCCGAGGCACTCATACTTGAATTTCCCTTGATCTTCTTCACAACTAGATTCTAGATCTAGTCTAGATCTAATACGGAATATTATATCCTTTTTCTTTCAAGACAACAATCGTACATCATGATGTCTGAACAACCAGGACCTTATTTCATTCCATGGTTGCAGTCTCCATGTTTACAATTGTGAATTCTATTGTAGGCTAACATGTTAGGCCTATTTCACTGTCAGTCCAGAAAATAGGGCCATACTCGATTACATATGTGAAGTCGACTTTTGAAAGCTCGTGGTATCCACAACGATCCGCCATGCCGTGTCGATACGCATACAGATGGCTAATTTAATACGATCATACATGTAGGGCAAGGCTGCCTAGATGTAGGGCCTACATCATGTATCATGCAGTTCACAATGATAATAACTTACTGTGGGCCTAGATCGACTTACATTATTATACATGTAATTTGAATTTATCTTGAATTTCAAAGTTGTTTTTAACACATAAAGTGAAGTAATAATGATAATAATTAATTTATCTTCAGACAGCAACAGAAACATTTGTTAAGATCAAATTCAAACTGTCTCCTTGTTGTAAAACCTGTGTTTCGTTTACATCGGATCATATTTGAGCACACTTTTGCAACAAACATGATCCTTATATATTTCAAGTCAATATCTTTTAAAATGGCTGAGCATTAAATTAACTCCTCGTTTCCCCCTCCTAGACTACAATAATGCTAGAATATTAAAATTTTGTTTAGATAACCATATATATGCTTGCATTATGGAGAGTGGGAAGCTTAGTAAAACCTTCTTGTCTGAGGGGAATTCTATTCGGATGAGTGTTGTGCGACAAAGATCTTTTACTGTAATACACATAAGCCTATTAGGCAAAGAGATGGCAAATACATACATGTTAAAATGGATCGTAACATAATAAGATCCTTGGTAGAGGATCTCTAAGATCATGAAAGATCTTTAGTCGAAAGATCGGTCGAGATACAAACGAAAAGATTATTCGATATTCAATTGAACGGACGATTTTCATGCATATCCGGTTTGAGGGAGATAATTAAACGGTGTGAATTTCCAGCTGTTGACAATACATTGTCAAGAGTACACCCCCCTTCCCTCTGATACTCCAGCTTTGATAATAATAATTATTAGATCTATTGTAACAGTTGCATGTTGTTACTGTGTAGCCAACTGTGTTGTAAACAAAGCTTCTGTCATCACTACGGTTATCCAGTATCCAATAAGAGAGAGACAGACAAAGAGAGAGAGAGAGAGAGAGAGAGAGAGAGAGAGAGAGAGAGAGAGAGAGAGAGGGAGGGAGAGGGGTGGGGGGGGGGGGGGTAAAAACGAGAGCTATACGTGTAATAATATGAGCAGACTAGAATAAGACATAAAAAGGGAAAAGAAAATAAAGAGTACTAGATCTAGCAGGTTACAGATGTGCAATGAGAAGAGCAGAGCCTCCCTCCTGTCCCTTCTTTTTTCAGTGTCTTGGTGGTTAGCGGGTGTTTTGGTGTGATTTGCTCCCAAGGAGTACCATACAGTACTCCTTATGTTTGCTCCTTAAATTCTTTCCAATAAAAAATCTGTTTCCCTTATGTCTCATCCTTCGTTTGTATGTTACACTCTCATCAGGGGTGAAGCGTCTACATTTAATATTCCCTGCTTCCCTTCCATGATTTGGGGTCATTATCGCCGCAGTTAAATTCACCCAAAGACGCCGCAGGTCTTATGAATTAAACTAGACGTTCATTGAATCGCCAAAGAGCATATAATCATATGGTCGCTTTTAAGCACAAGGGGGCTCTCCCGAAGAATGCTGTTTTGAGGAAACTGAAGTTAAAGTTTTTGGATCCTTATTCAGTCTCTGTAAAAGACAAGGAGAATTTTCTCTAAAACCAAACAAATATACACACCAGTAACACCACATTTCTCCTATAGGTAGGGCAATGCCCACTTTTGGGGTAGGTCAGAATTTTAATGACTGTCCTGTGAGTGCTAGAGCTTACACCCCCCCTGACTTTGTGGACAGGGCAGCTGCGCCTATACATGTAATACCACAGAGTTCACCAATTTAGAGCGAACGGTAAAGATTTTTTTTTCTTATCGCATTATTGTTGGATGAGGGCTTTTGTGTGCGCTGTTTTGAAGGTTTTTACGTCTCTGCATGATTTAATGTGTGTGGTCCCTTAAAAATTGATTTTTGTCTTGGTGAATTGTCAGGAAAGATAAATAATTGCTCTAGGCCTATATTTTTTTTTTCTGGAAGATGTCCCCAGTAATTGTGAATACGATAAAAGCTTTATAATTTTGCTGTTGTTTTTGTGTTCACGTTTTAATCCCAAACGAGTCATGGGCTGGGTCATCAGGAGTTGAGCTTGTACACAGACCGAGTTGTAGTGCATTGAAAGTTTTTTTTAGGTTTCTTTATTTTTTAAAAGATCCTTCTAATTTTGAGGGATGGGATGTCGGCCTCGGTCTGAGTCTCTTTGCAAGAGATGCGTGGAAAGGTGAAAATCCCCAGGGCGAGGTGGAAGCCTTGGGTCTGCATTGGGTCCAGCATAAGGTTTTGTCCATTAACTTGGCAACCATAGCCAAGATTGGATCCGATTGAAGAGAGGTAAGGTGGAGGGTTTGGAGTCCCCGCCTCATTCAGAATGAAAAAAGGAAGATTTTTACTAGGCCTATTTTAATCTATCAGATATTATTTCTGGGAAACGAGCCTGACCCCCCCCCCCCTCTATCATCTCTCTCTCTCTCTCTCTCTCTCTCTCTCTCTGTTCCCCCCTCCCCCTCTCTCGATCGGCCTGGACGTGTCTAGCTCTCCCTGTGCTTTTCTCTCTCTCTCTCTCTCTCTCTCTCTCTCTCTCTCTCTCTCTCTCTCTCTCTCTCTCTCTCTCTCTCTCTCTCTCTCTCTCTCTCATACGCAGAATGGAAGAATGTGCATCCTGGTCTTTCTAAGTTGTTAGTCAAGAAGGCAATACACACACAGGCACGCATGACCGCTCTTAAAGGGGGTGCAAAAATGACAAATTATAATGCTGATTTGATACATGTATTAACACGTTGTTGGCACTCTCTTTCCTGGTGGGGCAACAAGACCTGAACAGTGTCCAGATTTTTGTTCTGTAACGAAATAAACATCTCATGCAGTCATGAGAGGCGCTGTTTGTAAAGATGGAAATAATCAAAAGCTATATTATTATAGAATTGTATGTATGTATGTATGTATGTATGTATGTACGTACGTACGTACGTACGTACGTACGTACGTACGTACGTACGTACGCACGCACGCACGCACGCACGCACGCACGCACGCGCGCGCGTACGTACGTACGTATGTATGTATGTATGTATGTATGTATGTATGTATGTATGTATGTATGTATGTATGTATGTATGTATGTATGTATGTATGTATGTTTGTATGTATGTTTGTATGTATGTTTGTATGTATGTTTGTATGTATGTTTGTATGTATGCAGAGCTGTTAAAGTACTTTTAAAAAAGTACTTAAGTACAAATTTAAGTACAATCTAAAAAATGTACTTAAGTACAGTAAAAGTACTTTCCTATAAAATGTACTTGAGTACAAGTACTTTTAAAAAAAGTACTTATGAGTACATTTTGAGTACTTTCTGCTAATATGCTAAAACACTTCAGCGCTTATGCAAAACATCATATTTTATAACTTATCCAGTATATTTGACAAATTAGGCTATTTATTACTAAGAATGTAAACAGTATACAAAGCATTTGAATATACAATGTACGCACTGAACGGTGGTAATGGTCGGTGAAATTGAACAAAAAAACAACCCAAACGAACAGACGCAACTAGAGGATCTAGTGGGTAAGTGATATTATGAATAGAAAATGTTTGAGCAAGACAATGTGATCGAATGTAAGTCAGTCCAAGAGGTCGGAAAGTTCTACAGAAAGAGTATCCAAATTGAAAAATGTAGATAGAAAGTTGCTCTTAAGAAAACATAAAATTGATGAAAATGACCCGCATAGAAATGGAAAAGTGCATTGAATTCTTCATTAACAAATCCTCAAGGAATCAATGTAGCCTTAAGCAAAAACCACCCAAAAGAGTTTAAAAGAAATTTAGGCAGCCTAAAAATTGTTAGATACACATTGAGAACACAGTTTCAGTTTCAATTGATTATAGTGGTCTGACAGATTTTGCTCACACTGTGTAGTCCACGGCGCCAACGGCAAACCAAAATACAATAGTTTCCTATAGAGTCTAGTAAGTGTAGTGTAACCAAAGATTCTCTACTGCAGTAGTCTCCGCCTAAGATCCCAGTGCACGGAAGCAAGGAAAATAATATGGGATCTTAGCTAGGCTTTCTCAGACTGAGAAAGCCTAGGATCTTAGCCAATGAAGCCAAGGAAGAATCCACAGTGACCCATGAACTGACGTGACCCCTGGGTGGATTTATGACATATGGCAAGCAAAGAGTGGTCGACCTTGATGACCAATCACAGTGGCATGAGGAATGCCATAAATAATATTATATATACACACTCATTAGCCTATCGTGAGTCTTGAGATCTTTATCTATGTTTATCCAGTTGCCCCTCTCCTTTACCTGTCCAACAATTTTAGCTTTCCATCTCTGATTGAGCCCCCCCCCCCCCCCCCCAAACCTCCTTTGTCGTTACGCGCCATTACGATATGACCACACTAATTAAAATTCAGGTTGTCTCGCAAATTCGGGAAAAACTGCTTTCAATGGTCAGGGAAGAGTTCACAGTTTGATGTGATCCCGCCTGGAGCGAACTTGTAGCCTACTTGTAGGCCCTACCCACCCAGGGAGTGATGTAAGTTTAGGTGGTGAGGTCAGATGCGAGTGCGATGTTTGGGGAAAAGAAACGCATCGGTCAGTTCACACCTTTGTGTGATCCGGTCTGGAGCAAACACTGTACCGTTTCAAGGAGTTTTACAACGCTTGTGATCACGTTCACGATAGTGGCTGATCTTTAAGGCGACGGGCCGTTCTTTGATCTCAACTTTTAACTCTTGGCGGTTGATCGGGTTTTTGTTCCGTAAATTATGATCAGAAATGCCTGCACTTACCCTTTCATTAAGCTACCAAAGTACTCAAAATGTACTTAAAAAGTACTCAAAAGTACTTTTATAAAAAGTATCGGAGTACAGTAAAAGTACTGGTTTCAAAAAT